CTAACAGGACCACTCTGCTAACAGGACCACACTGCTAACAGGACCACTCTACTAACAGGACCACATTGCTAACAGGACCATGCTGCTAGCTGTAACAGTGTTTATATAACATTATTTTTATTTTTATTGCTTTTTATTGTTGTATATTGTTGTCTGTTTAAAACAGGTCTCTCTTGAAAATGAGTCCTTGTGACTCCGTGAGACTAACCTGTATAAATAAAGTTGTTGCTTTTTTTTAACGGTAGAACTTCCCTGTGATGGACTGGAGACCCGTCCAGGGTGTACCCCGTCCCTCGCACAATGATTGCCGGACATGGGCACCAGCGACCCCCGTGACCCAAAATGGAAGAAGCGGGTAAAAGATGATGGCTGGATGGAAGAACTTCCTGAATCTACACCTGAGAAGGAGCTCTGCAGATGGAAGTTTTTAGAAGTTCAAAGTCCTGTTTGAATATATGGAGTGGGCGGGGCCTAAACCTTCAACTTCCTTATTTCTGTAGGAAGTCTATGGTTTCCCTGTCCCGCCCCTCTCCGTTGTCATGGTTACCACAGAGCCAAATCTGAAGTTGCTTTTCTCAGATGAAACCAGCAAAGCAAAGCTCTGATTTGTTTTACTTTTTTTTTAGCATTTCATGCAGACATAGTGTGGGATTCTGTCAGATTTGTTGGGGGGCCGAAATGTTTTCTTTAAATGTCCGCATCCAGCCTGCGGGCCGTGTGTTGACTAGACCTGCCACACAGTGTTCACCTCCTCCCACCCCCCATACCCCCCATACCCCCACATCAGTGTGACAACAGGGTAATTAAGTGGAGCAACTAGTCAGAACGATGCAGTTCAACACATTTCTTATTGGATTACAAGGAACGCTGGGAAGGAATGCAGGAGCCGAGCGGCGTCCCCTCCCTGCTGCTGGTAGCAGCTGAAAGAAACACCACGACATCCAGGTTTCCCTTCACGCCCACTAAGCGCTGAGGAAAAATACAGCATGTGCCGTTTGTCAGCGGAGTCACAACAAACGAGGCGTGTTTGTGTTCGACTCTGTGGGCCTCGGAGAGATTCTTCATGTGCAGAGGATTGTAGCGTAGCACAGGTAGAGGCGTGACAAGGATAACAGGGATCCACACCTGGACAAGGTGTATGTGTGTGTGTGTGTGTGTGCGTGTGTGTGTGTGTGTGTGTGTGTGTGTCACTTGCAGGGCAGCCAAGTCTTATCTGGGCAGAAGAATGGAGTTGTTGTAGATCACATGATGTCATTTTATTCTCTTTTAACTTTTATCTTTTGTTTTTTCACGTTTTATCAACAAATGAAGAGTGTCTTGCGCTCTCAACATGCACAGCGTTGTTTAATAAAAGCTGCTCCACACACCACCGCCCAGCTGAAGCTCTGCCACACAGAAATGTGATGACAGGAGCCTGATGGGAGCTGCAGGAGGAGCAGCTGCTTCCACATCTTCTAAACAAGAGGTGAAAACATCACGGCTCTTTAAGCTAACAGGGGCGGCCCGGTGGTGCAGTGGTTAGAGATGTCACCTCTCAGTGAGGTGGCAGTTCTCCTCCTGGTTTGGAAGAGTTTATGAAACTTACACAGTACTGATGAGGACATTGGACCACTGATGAGGACATTGGACCACTGATGAGGACATTGGACCACTGATGAGGACGTTGGACCACTGATGAGGATGTTGGACCACTGATGAGGACATTGGACCACTGATGAAGATGTTGGACCACTGATGAAGACGTTGGACGACTGATGAGGACGTTGGACCACTAATGAGGACGTTGGACCACTGATGAGGATGTTGGACCACTGATGAAGA